CTGAGTAGACGTCCCTTCCTCTCAGGGCTGGGAAGGCGGCTACCCCGAGATCATCAAGGAGAACAAGCTGTTCGAGCACTACTACCAGGAGCTCAAGATCGTGCCCGAAGGCGAGTGGGACCAGTTCATGGAAGCGCTCAGGGAGCCTCTCCCGGCCACCTTAAGAATTACTGGTTACAAAAGGTAGGGGGCCGTGCCTTGAGTGTTTCCTGGAAAGTTGGGATTAGGATGCCCACGGTTAAAAACGAGAATGTTTTCCCCAAGAAGTGTTACAGTGCTGGAGAACCTCTGTATGTCAGCGGTGTGGATTCTAGAGTCTGGAAGCACTGAGAGGGAGCACAGGGTCCAACGGAATAGGTCAGGGAAGTACTGCAAGTTTGGAGGCCAGAATAAGAAACTAAAATGTAATCTGAAAGGGTCGACACCTGGGGATTTGTGAGTTGAAGGTACTCAGCCTTTGGAGCACGTGAAAATTTGTCACATTACAAGCCTGCTTAAAAACTTCTGGTGTTCTCGCCTTAAAAACGTCTTTGTACTCATGTAACTGGGCAAGAGGGCTTGTTGTCTGCTTCCCAAGAGAAAGGCCAAATAGTAAGGCAACACTGTTTTGCAGAAACAGAAGAGGCTTTTCTTTTGCAGGGCAACCAAGCAAGGAGGCAGGAGGCAATGCCCAGATCTGTCTTCTCATCAGCTGTTGAGTGGGGTACTTATCAGGGAAGTAGGTAGTAAGAGGTGGAGTGGGCTCTGAAATGATGGGTGGGAAGTAAAGGTAAGTTTCAGGAGTTCTTTGTTCAGGCGTGGCTGTCCTTCAGGTTTCTTCATGGGTTACATGTGCAAATTCGGGAAGGAGAGTTCTGTCTGGTACATGCAGTGTATTTTCAGCCTGTGACATCTATGAAGTTTTACTTTGGGTTATTTTAGTCCCTTAAATGCAAAGGGGCCATTAACATACTGTTTCCACAGCTGTGGTTCCCCTGGGCTTCTGCAGAGCAAGCTTGAAGGTCTTGGTTAGTCACTTTGTTTCTGCCTTCTGGGTCTTCAGTGTGTAAGTTACAGTGTATGCTTTCAGTTATATCTTCTAAAAATGACCTGCAAGTAAAAATGACGCTTGGAATGGTCAAGAGGGAAGAAATGTGGTAGGACAGTATTTAGCTTATCACCTTTTAGTGATCGAAAAAGGAAGGTTGTTTAAGCTGTGAGCAAATAGAGTAAAAGAGCAGTGATTGAAGAATGTTTTCTCTGCACACAGAGATGGTTTTAGTTTTAAAATGCTTAAAAATTTAAATTTACAAAAAAATATTAAATTAGCTTTTCAGGTTGATTTAAATCTTGCTTCTTTTTAAATAGCCATGCAAAAGAGATTCTCCATTGCTTAAAGAACAAGTATTTCAAGGAATTGGAGGACCTGGAAGTGGATGGTCAGAAAGTTGAAGTTCCACAGCCCCTGAGTTGGTGAGTATAACAAGGCTTCATCCTTCTGGATATTTCTGTGGGATTTTAATTTTGGCACTTGAATATATTTCTTGGTAATGTGTTTAACATTGACATGAAAGGACCTAAATATACTTTTCAGACATTCTCTTGTTCTTTTTTCCCAGTGATTTTTATTGCTGTTACTTCACCCTGGGGTGCAAGTTTTCATATGTGATTTGCAGCAGTCTATGTAAAGTCTTGGGTTCAGTTAATTTTTCCAAGTCAACCCAGCCTCTTTCCTTCCTTGATGTTACCATTTCCACTGAAACCCCTTGTCTTCACGTCGGAACTGTTGGAGATTTAATGTTTTGTTGCAGGGCCTGGCAGTAAGGTCAGGTAAGGGTCCCAGGATGGGAAACGGAGTGCAGCCAGCATTCAGTTTACAAATCACTTGGTTTATTGCACGCCCCCACCCGATACAGCAGAGGTTAGTCCCAGAAATAAGAAAAGGAAAGGAAGTGACGAGCCATTCTGAAGAGGCATCTGGGAAGGAGACGTCTTGGCATAAGTGCTGATCCCCTGTCCTGTACTGGGTCTGGAGGCAGGTGTGAGAGGGAGGCAGGTGTGAGTGGGAAGCCTTCTGCTCCAACAGTGCCTCCAGCAGCATCTGTCTGTCTATCTGGAGCAGCTCCTTGGCCTCCCAGGATCAGGTCTTGTGACTGAGCCTTCAAGCCTCGCCTCAGTGTCTTAGAGTCCATCAGTGAGTATAACTGGTTACACCCGGGGGTCTCTTTTCTATCAGTCGCCCCTTCTGTTCCAAACAGTCATCACGGTGGTGCACTAACTTCGGCCACTCCATTTCGAACTACTTAACGTAGCCTAAAGTCATTTGAGATGAGTAGGAATCGCTTGATTAAAAATCAGTTCGCAGCCCTTAACCTGACAAAGGGTCACCAGGGCTGCTTCAGCCAATTCAGTCTACTGTCCCCAGGGCCCGGGCATACTCCTGTCCTTCCGGCTAACCCCCCTTTTTATTTTTTACTGTCCAGTAAGTGTCCTGTGGGTTGCTTGTTTTTCATGGTCCAGTTCAGGTCTCAGTTGTGTGAAGACAGCCTCTTCTGTCTTGTAAAAGGCTTGGCATAGTCAAGCACAAACCAAAGATGTGTCAAGCCCTGGGTTAATTTATAAATAGAGAAGTCATTAAAGTAAATTGTTTTAGTTCCACATCTCGGTATATCAACTTCGAGGTATTGAGAGTCCTCACAAAACAACAACAAAGTATTTTAAGTGATTGCTGTAAAAGGTGGATTTAACCAGCATTTCCTGGCAGCTTTGGAGGTTTTGACTATTCAAGTGTTGGATGCTGTGTGTCCTCTTTGGATACCCATTAGTGATCATAGACCAAGGTCAGGTTCTCATTAATCATGGGTTATAGCTTTGCTTGCTTTTCATTCTTTTGTTGGCTATTTGAATTGCAGTGTCCATATCACAGATGTGTATAGCATACACGTTTTGAATGAATGCTCAAAGGCCAGATGCTAAAATCAGATCAAGACCAAATGTCCGCATTGTAGAATGCATTTCTGGAGAAGGAATAAGTCTGCAGTATTAAGCCAAAAAATTTCATGATGGTTTTTTTTTGGTCAAACATTTTAGCTAGGTTTTAAAAGCTTGATCATTAGAGCACAGGAAAATGACTGAGGTGCTAGGGGGCTCCTGGTGGCCACGCACTGCGTGTCTGCTGTACTGAGACCAGTGGGGAAGGAAGAGGCCTTTCCAGCTGCTGTGCTTGCAGCCTTGCCGGGTGAGGTAGCCCTCACACGGTGAGCTGCTTCCCCCCAGAGTAACCGGGTTATAGGCTGAGCACCTTTCCCAGGCCATGTTTTGGAGATTTGATTGGTGGTGCTGGCATTTGAAGTAGAGATTGTCTGATATTTTCAGAAGTAGGTTTGAGGCTGTCTTGGTGCACATTTCCATTTCGAATACTCTTGCCTCTGTTTGCCGCCTCACACTGTCACCTGAGAACATTTATTCCTTAGACCTTGGGTCCGGAAGGATGGCTTTTCCAGTGAGGGGAGTCTCTGACCGTCCTCTGCATCTGAGCAGGGGGAGGGGCTGGAAACATGCCTCCTGTGGGAAGGAGGTGCCTCTCTGGGAGCGTCCCTGTGAAGTTTTCTTTTGTGGGTTTCCAACAAATTTGGAAATTGGTCTCACTGTTTTTATTCTGCAAATTACAGTTCAGCTTTTGTTTATTCATCTCATTTTACAGCTGTTTTTCCCTCTTGAGTGAACTTTGGGTGTGGGTACAGAACAGGTCAACTCCCGGACCTCTTGGAAAGGCCCTGCGGGTGTCCGTGGTTGAAGACTGCTGGTGAATCTCTGCACGTTACTGTTGCTTTAATTTTCTGAACACACAACTGAAGTGTGGGAGCAACAGATTGTATGATTTGGGTCCCTAATACTCACCTGTTCCCATTATCTGTGACAATCACGTGATGGTTTTATTCTGTAAACATTTATTCAGTCAGATTCACTAGTCAAGTGTAGGCTACTCATAAAGCAGTGAGCAAGTAAAGCAGAGACTGAAGACCTCTAGTGGTTTTCTGTATTGCTCTAAATACAGAACTAGGTCACATAATACTCTTTTAAACTTCTGATACCTAGCAGAATATAATACAGGAGAAATATTTTTTGGGAACCACGTTTTCTAGAAGGAGTGTTACGTATAGGACTCATAGCTTGGGAAGATTTCGTTTTTTTTCTCACTTTCCTTAGACTAGGATCTGTAAGAAAACTACCCTAAAGCATGTTTTAAAGGCCTTGTTTTGACAATCAGTTGTTGAGAACATAACCTTACTGCCATTCTGTTTATGTTCTTTTTAATTTTCAGATTGAAGATGGTTTGTCATAGATGCTGTATATACTTAGAAAGACTTTTTTCCCCATAATTTTTGAGGTGTAAAGGTGACAGTGGTGCTTTTAATTTATCCTTGAAAGACATGACAAGTTTCCAAACAGGATTTTAAAGCTCAAGAGCTAAATTTGAATTACATAACTATAAATAGTTTTTTTAAAGATTATTTGATGTTTAAACCTGCAGAGATTTTATTAAACATTTGTTAGCTCAAAAGTTACTCGTAAAGCTGCATAAGAAATACACTTTTTTATTTTACCTGTCAGTCTGTTTTTGTATTTAACTGTTGAAAGTTCTCAGCTATTTTTTCAAAAGATTCACAGCTTTCACAATCATAACAACTTAGAATAGAATTTTAATCTTACAATGGGAAGTTTACATTCTAGCTACTAGAAATTCAACCTGTGAGGCATCTATGGAACTGTTGGCTCAAGTTATATCTTAGACTGCCGTCTGTATTTGAAAATGAAAACCGAGGGAGGTGCAGTAAGTAATCATAGGTGACACTCAGATTAAGGTGTTGTGCTGGTTTGGGAAGGCAGTGACCCCATGTGTGCTGTCTTTGGTCACAGACAGTCCAAGGTTGCCAGGTATCAGATGAAAGCAGGTGTTTGTCAGCAAAGTTTGCAGCTGGACGCCAGGCTCCTCGCAGCCCTACAGCTGGAGCCATTCACCTTTAGTGAGGCCAAAGTGAGCATTTAAAGTGACACTCTTTAATTGCCTGATAAGTGTGATTGCATTTTGATTTTGTAATTTTGAAACAGGTTAAATATTGAGGAGGGAACCAGTTAAAAGCTCGGGGACAGTTGGAGGGTGGCCGTTAGCAGATTCAGCCAGTTTAACCATCAGTATTTGGTAGAAAGCACTCTTCAGATGTATCTCGTAACATCATGACAGTCGAGCATGTCTTCACATCTTAAACCTGAGTTTGTTTTTGTCAGTCACTCAAACTTTCAGAGCAGTCAGATGTGTATTTTTCAAACGTTCCGGTTTCATTTTTATGGATGTCCCCTTAGCACGTGGAAACATGGTGACCTTGCATTGTTAAATTGAGCTCGCCATGAAACCTCAGGTTTAACAATAGGGGCAGTGAGATTTGTCACCGAGTGCCATGGGATGCTCGGTGTGGGCCCATGTGTCCTGTCAGTGTGCTGCATGTGCAGGTGGAGCCCAGAGGACAGGTGCAAGCACACATTTCCTAATCAGTGACGTCATCATTTATAAAGTTCAGATAAAGTCACAGAAATGACAGGAGATGCTTTGTGTATAAACAGCAACCTTGGAGCTCAAATTAGTACATTGATGATTTCCAGGGTTTTTTGGTGTGTAAAATGTTTCAGTGCGTGGCTGGACTGGTTTGCTTTGGAAATAGTGAAAAATGTAGTAACAAAGATTGCAGGCAGGTGTTTGTCAGACATTCTGATACCTGCTCTATGGCACTGCTTTGATTCTGTGTGATCTGCACCTTAATTCGTCATCTGATGTTTCCTGTTGACCTCTATGCTGGTAACTTACCACAGTGGAGAGCAGAGGTGTCTCCACTTTTTCATCTGATCTTGAACGTTTATTACTATAATTTCTCAGTCATATCATGTGTTTATGTCTCTTATAACCCCCCAGGCTCCCCCTCCCCAGCCCACAGCAGATACGTGATACAGTCGGAACCCTGCTCCTGTGCCCCAGTGACATCACGCAGTGCTGCTGGCTGCTCGAGAGGGCTGAGGGGGCAGCGGGCAGGACACACTTGAGTGTCTCACTTGGTTTATGACTTGTATAAGCAAAAAGTTGTGAAGAGACCACTTTATATGTAGAATCCATAAATGTGTTACTTTGTTTTTGTTCAGGTATCCTGAAGAACTTGCCTGGCACACAAATTTAAGTCGAAAAATCTTGAGAAAGTCTCCGCAATTAGAAAAGTTCCACCAGTTTCTGGTTAGCGAAACTGAGTCTGTGAGTAGATTTCATTAGATTTGTTGGTTTCCTTGAAGCTTAATTTTATTTTATTTTTTTATTGAAGTATAGTTGATTTATAATGTGTTAATTTCTGGTGTACAGCATAGTGATTCATTTTACATATATATATCCCTTTCCATATTCATTTTCATCACAGGCCATTACAAAGTATTAGTTATAGTTTCTTGCGCTATATAGTATGACCCTGTTGTTTATCTATTTTATGTATATGTTAGTGTGTCTCTTCAAACCCCGACCTCCCAGTTTATCCCTGCCCACCCTGGTTTCCTTGAAGCTTTAAATGCACACTAGTGTCATGGTTTCATTTGGATCACACTTGCCACTGGGAGCGATTAGGTAGATAAAGCATGCAGAGAAACACCTGTGAGTGTGTGTGCGCCCCTCACTTCTGATCATTTGCATAGCTGTGTTTTGTTTGGCTCATCTAATCATGAGATGTCGGGAGGGCGCCATCACAGTTGTCTGTGTGGCTTTTTGTTTCTAGCCAGTCTGGGTTTGGGTGACTGCCGCCCTGAGGTGGGCGCAGTGCTCTGCGGGGTGGGGTCTCATTCAGGAGCCGCTGCTCTTTCCCCCTCACGCCCTTCTTAGGTGCGCCTGCCGGCTGGCTGCCATTCCTGCAGAAAAAGTAATACATTTTTAGGGCTGTGTTGTTTTATTAAAGTGAGACTTAAACTCATTTTTAACATTTCTGTTTTTTCCTGCTCTTGTCTAATTCCACCTTTGCCAAACAAACAACACCCAATTGTGACAACTTTGGTTCTCACAAAGCCATTATCTGTCTTCACCCCAACTCCTTTGCCATACAAAGTCCTTGATTGCAGTTCAGACACTGAACTTCTCACCTTTGGCATGAAATCTTCCCCAACAGAATAGCTGTCCCCTCACGCAGTACATGATCGAATGAATGCCTGTCAGGTTTGGATGTTGTGAGCTTTGCAGTTTCTTTTTTTGGGGATTCTTAATAGTCTCATATTTAACATCAGAAGCTCCCCCTTCCTGTTTTCTGATCTCCTTTTCCTAGCCAAGGAAACCTCTGTGTGTCACCAGGCAGTCTATTTCTTTCCCACTCTGAGCTGCCGTCTTCACCCAACAGCACTGGTGTGCTCCCCACCTTCCTTCCCTTGACGCCGTAACCAGCTTAGAGACCCTCCCCTCACTCAGGTCTAACGTCTGCTCAGTCCAGCCGTTTCCGCTTGGCGTGGCTTTCCAGGCTCCTCTGCCTGGTTTTCCGCCTCCCCTCCCCTCCCCAAGGTAAGGAATAAACGGACCTCAGCACCTCCACGCAGCGGCTCTGTACTTGGGCCCACACAGGAGGGGTTCTCTGGCTCAGCTCTCCAACTAGTTGGAGGGTCGGGTAGGGATATGTGAGCTGTCGGAGAACAGTTTAGGTTTGGTCTTCAAAAGAGCAGACGGCTTGCAGGGGGCAGGGGCATGCACAGTTGAGCAGCTTGTGCAGAGCCGGGTTGGGGCAGCTCTGAAAGGTAGAGGACACGGGAGCTTAGCATTGGGGCGTATGTTACAGGGAACCTGTCCAGATTTTTGACTGGAGTCAGCAGAAAGAGATACTTTCTGGGTTATCAAGACCTGGATGCAGAGCGCGTTTATGAATGCAGTGACTGACTGCCAGGGTGTCTAGCCAAGGGCCCAACAGCCCCATCCCCCGTTAATGCGTTAATTGAAAACTTGGGTGAAAACAGAAGGCAGGCTTATCAGAATCACAAGTATAACCCAGAGCTTGGAATCAGTGCCTGGCGAGTCCATCACAGTTTAATCCTCACAAAGGCGCTTTGCTGGCCAGAAACCCATGAGGTGAAAATTAACGGGTGTGACTGGAAGGAAGCCTGTGTTTAGGTTCCGATAGCCAATTGCGAAGTATCAGGTGAGCGACGCGGCTTGGATGGCTGTTCAAGTGCAGGAGACCCGGGTTGTAATAGAGCTGAAGCCTGGTGGTTCAGGTGGTTTTCACAGCTTTTTTTTTTTTATTAATGTTCGGTCCTAAGGCTGTTTAAATAGAGTTGTGGTTGAGACAAGTGCTGGATTTCACCAAGGAAATTTGTCTGAATCTGAGCAGTTGTACGTTTTAACAGACCTGCTGACCCTGCAGTGAAGGTGGGGAGGGTGGTCGGCTCAGTGCTGCTTGGCCTCCGCGAGGAAGGAGAGGAGCAGTGGTTGATGTCTTCATCCTTCTGAGAGGCACTTCCCGGGAACAGGAGGCAGGCATGAGCTGTTCCCGGGAACAGGAGACTACAAACAGAAGTTAGGGCTTCAGCCAGGAGGGAAAGCGCCCTGACCGTGACCTGTGCTGGGCCCCTGGGGCTGCTCCCTGCGGCTGAAGGCGTTTCAGTAGCATCGCCTGCCCTTGAGACGCTCATCCAGCTGCTGTACTTTCTCTTACAGAACTTGCTTGTCACACTCGAACTTCTAACATTCTGATGCTAAGTTTCGGTATCCATCATCATCCTTACTTAGCCTTTAGGCAGCAGCCATTTATCCACAAGGGTACAGATCTGTCATATTTACTGTTTGTGTGACAGTACTGACCGTTCTGTTCTGTGTGTGACTCTGTGGTTTTTTCCTGTTGCATTGGAAATAATGCCCAGTATTGAAATTTTCGCCTTTTTGAATGTCATAGCTGGTTTTTAAAACATTTTCTTTTCTAAGGGAAATATCAGCCGTCAGGAAGCCGTTAGCATGATTCCACCGCTGCTGCTGAACGCTCACCCTCACCATAAGGTACCGTGGATTAAGTAGAAAATCGCAGTGGGTAAGCTGCTGCCGGAGTCTGTGTTTTGTTGAGACCTTTTTTCCTTAATATCGTCTTTTTTGCCCCTTTTTGCTTTGGGTATAGTGGAGAGTGATATATATTTTATTTCAGATTCCTTTTGCAATTTTTGCAACTCAGATAGCTGTTCAGGTTTATTCGTTTGTTTACCTACTACCCAGATTGTCCTCCGTGTTCCTGATTGACTAAGTCAGGTTGAAAATCACATGTACGGAGAGCAGTGCTCTGGATTCTTTCCACGAATGAGTTCGCTTTATTACGCACGCATCCCTGTGAGAGGAGATGCTGCCACCCTCCCCATTTTTCCGGATGGGGAGTAGGTGGCAGAGGAAAGTGGAGAGAACTGGCCCCGGGTGCCGAGCTCGTCGTCCGAGGCTGAGCTGAGACGTGAGCCCAGCTGGCTCTGCGCCTTGGTGTTATGTGACCGTGCTGCTCGCGTTTGCTGCCTGTGCTCATCCTGGGTTTCCTCGTTCGCTTAATTGGCCATTAAGGGCCGTTGTCTTCCTGTCCCCTGTGGAGTCCCCTGTCTGTCCTTCTGTGGTTTGGGGGCATTATATATCATGAGAGCCCTGTAAGGTAAGTATAACGTGCTCTAAATTCATTGTATGAAGAAATGTATGTAAGTCTTCAAATAGAAATGAAAAAATAGTGTTAAGTTATAAATTTAAAAGAAAAACATCAACCATTTTCTCGCTTTTCAACAGATCTTAGACATGTGCGCAGCGCCTGGATCAAAGACCGCGCAGTTAATCGAAATGCTGCACGCTGACATGCGCGTCCCTTTCCCGGGTACGCGCGGCGCTGGTGGTTTGCGGGTGGGCCTGCTGGGGCTTTTTGGTGGGTTGTAGACAAGGAAATGGGCATAACATGGCCTGACGCCTCCTGTGTCAAGCAGGTGGGTTTTCTGTCTCTGAAGGTAGAGCTGGACGCTGTGCGCCCCGTCACTGTACTCGGGCCGCGCGTCACTGTGGGGAGGGGGCCTTCGTTGTAGCGACGTGGGGCCTCAGGCCTGAGCTTGCAGGACAGCATGTGAGGTTGCGAAGTGCTCAGGGAACGGCAGCTGACACAGTGCCGCTGACGCTCCTCTAGGGATCCTTGTGAGGAGCGTAGCTGTTCGTGGCGGCGTTAGTCTTCTAATGCTTCAGCCTACCCTTGTCCCCTCCTGCTGCCTTTCTTTTCGGCCAGCTGCTCTAGTTCTGCTTTAATGCTTATTGGCTGTGTTTTTTCAAAAGTCCTCTTTACTGTGGTAAATCTTTCCTAAGAAGTTTTCTGTATTCTTCCCTACTTTTAAGTGCTTTCTCCAGAATTGGTAGAAGAGAGCTTCGTTCTATTATTAATATTTTATGTTTCATATTGTTTGAAGAGTCCTATTGATCAAAACATTATTAGGCATGTTTGTCATCTGCCTTTTTGCTGGTGGTGACGGAGG